GAAGTATTGTAGAGAATAAATCATAATGGATAAAGATTATTTGTACTGTCCTCTTTATATGGTTTCTCACAGCCTTTATGGGGGATAAAAGGAATCTTTCTCATCGGGAAAGATGAACTATGTACTACATGTACAAATACCAAACCTCTATATTACATTAAATGTTCAGTACCAGGGAGGTTGCCAGAATGGGATGACAGCTGTCTGGAAGCACAGAAATAGTCAAGAAAGGTTCACTAGAAGAAAGCAAAGAAAAAATAGTAAGGAAATTAAAAACAAATATTAAATATATTTCATTCATAATGGCATAACAAAGTGTCTTTGTGTCCTGAAATGTTTGCTTGACAGTAACTCTCTCTGAGTTGTCATGATGGTGAAATATATGAATCACATACATGCAGAATTCTATATCATACTGAAAATCCTGAATTTGTAAATCTGGCTTAAACTACCAAAATCGTTCTTCATTTTTTTGTCTTTTAAAATGAACTAATGAAAAGAGGTTATCTGTATGTCACAAGTTGTAGTCTTCAGGTGATCTAAAAATGTTATTTCAGGAAAAAGAAATGTCCATCCTTTTAGATTCTTACTTAAATATTTTAACGTTTGCTTTGGGCAGGATCAATTGATTTGTATCCTAGTTCTGATGCACATGCCTCTGGCTTATATTGTTTTTCCATACACTGTCAGGTTATTGCTTATTTCTTATTTATAGCAGACATATAGTTAAAGATCCAACATTTCCTGTTTGTGGTTCTTGGGAAGGGCAGCCCTGGATATTGGTGAAGAGGTGTAAGACCCCCCCCAAAACCCCAGCCAAACCAAGGGGGAGGGTAGTTTTGACTTAAATATGCCTGGGAAGCTCATTGACTTCAGTGCAACTGCAAAGCAAAAAAACTATTTTCAGAAAATATGCTACTGGTGTGACTAAAGCTACAAAGTAAATCCCCTGTGCCATGTGAGGAGCGGGATGAGGAGGACTCTGTGGCCAACATGATTTCCTCAAGGTGACTCGTAAATTCTGAAGTCAAATGTAAAAGTAGCATCCACTGTTGTCATGTGCCCAGCTAAGTTATCAAGTATATTCTCTCAGCTGCTTTGTTGGCTAGAAAACAGTGACTTATTTGTGTATTTTTATGGCATATGTTTTTCCTTACTTGATTTTTTTTTTTTTTTTTTTTGGTTTCACATTGAATCAGTCAGACACAAAATCTTGGTCAGGTGTCTTTCACCAGAGGTTCTTCCACGCGTGTTGCTTTCTGTCACTGCCGTAACACTCAGCAGCTCACAATGAAGATGAGGCCAGGTAGAAGGGTGTACATGTATGACTGCACGCTGAAATAGTTTAATCCAGACCAAATATACACCAGGATAATTCTCTAGAAAACACTTTCTTCTTTTTTTACTTCTGTTTGAAATAAGAAATGAAATGAATTAGTCATTTATCACTCACTTCCTTCAAAAATAAATTACAGAAAGGTTAGGAGAAATCTCTAAAAGATACTTCAAAAGAATAATACTTGAGCATTTTTATTCTAACTGCCCCCCACATTTTATTTTTGGACAAAATTTATAAGCTACCTAAGCATGACTGAGAAATGCCACTTCTTGAGGATAAAAATTAAAAACCAGAACACTTTCCCATGTGACTCAATAAATTAGTATTTATACTAACCTAAGTATTATGAGGATTGCTCTCAAACTGAATTGCAGTACAAGGAGCAGTACGATAGAAAAGTTCCTAAACTGGTTTTGCTGCCATCTGGGAAAAGATGACCCGTGAACATGTTTAACGATCACTCCCGAAACACACAAAGCCCAGAAGACTATTGTTACAGTGTTCCTTAAAACAAGTACATAACTCTACAAATTGACCAATATCCAGATTATTGAACCATAGTTTTTTTCCTTTTTTAGACTCAGCTAGACTACTCTTATAATTAGATGAATTCTGACTTAAATTATGTATTATACAACCAGTTGATAGTATGTTTAGATGTCGTTATGTATGTAGTTAAAAACTTAACAGATCATGGAGAGAGCCAGTTTTGTATTTAGAGGCTTATTATCACTTTATTACTGGGTATTACTATAACTTTATATTGCTTCACATGTTCATTACGGTTCTAGATATATATTTTTAAATGGAGTAAAAATAAAGGTTAAATGGTATGAAAACCTAAACTTGAAGAGTTATACTTTAAGAACACAGACAAAAAAGCATGAGAGTCTTGTGCAATAATGGCTATTATGGCAGATGGTGTTATGAGCAGGTGATGTTTTATCCAGAAGGATTTGGACCTATTCCTATAACGTGCTAGAAATGTTCATGATAATGAAACGAGATTAAGGTCTCAATATCCTAATCTTACCACTTTTAATCCATCAAAAACTTCACTTTTTTTTTTTTTTTACATTGGGGGTTTTGACACTCCATGCAAAATACATAATTACTGCTAGAAAGCTTAAACCTGCTAAGAGGATAACATTTATTCTGCTGGCAATTTAGAAGGAAAGCATATCACAAAGTATGGTTATACTGATAATAGAACATCCTTGTTATTAGTTCTTCCTACATTTTATTACACAGAGGTATTTAGCTAAGCTTTCTTTAAGATCTGTGTCAGTGCACTTAGTTGTTACTGGGTCTGTTTTTAAATTATGGCAATGTTGAAATTACCATAGTAGGGCTGTCTAACAACCCACTATCTGGTATCACGTCTCCAGCAAGGGTTAATACTTTTTGCCCTGGAATATGGAATACTAGAGGCTCTGTTTGTGATAAATTAGATTTGGGCAAGTCTTGCTTTGGTTTTTTTGGTTTTTTTAATCATTTCATTTCAGGATATAACCAGGAAATATACCTGAAACTTCCTATAGTCATTCACTTTATTTTAATCTATCTCAACTTCCTTTTGCATGCGCATTTTCCAGTCGAATTGATAAATGCCGGAACAGTCATTATTAGCGAGGAAGAAGCCAGTGCATTTTAAGGTAGTCTGTTATGTTTGGTTTGTTGCAGTAGCTGAACAATATTTACTGTCATTTTATAAGTGCATTTTAAAAATTATTTTAAAAAGGGGGGGAAGCACGTTCCATTTGTGAATGTTCTTATTTGTCTCTTATTTGACTCTTGAGACCTTAACCAAACACATCAGTGATAATGAACCTTTATCTTTCATGATGGCCTCTTTAGCTGTACCTATAAACTCTTGCAAGTATCTGGTTTTCTCTTAATTGTTTTAGGTTTTGTATACTTAAGTAGAACGGATCCTTGGGGAAAAACAAAAGTGAAATTAATAACTGAAACCTCTGCAAGCTACCTACGGCTCTGAGACTCATGATGTTCTAAGTAGATGGGTTATTTGAGAAGCCATCAGGATTCCAAGTGATTTTAAATGCTTCACTCATCAATCTGGCACAGATTTCCTTGTTTTCTTGTAAGCCTAATTGAAATTGTTTAATTTGCCAGATGTTCCCCGAGATATTTTCATTCCATCTTCCTGAATGTCTTTCTGCTTGTACCACTTAACAGATTAGTTTTCAATCCGTTTCTCTGCCATGCTTGTTTACCCAGATAACCAATGTTAAAGATCTATGATTTGACCCCTTCATATTCTTATACTTTATTCTTAATGTGTTCCTTTTCCCAGCATGCAGGAAACAATTCACCTAGGCATGGATGCAAGTTCATGAGAACAGGAGCACATCACAAATCCTGCAACAGTCTATTTTTGCCTTCCTCTAAGGGCACGGGATAAGATAGTGAGGTCTGATAAGATGATTACGTTAAGAGTCTACGGCTGGTTAGGCACTTACATGTGAGGTCCCCAGGGAAAACACTACTCCACAGGTTGTTTTGCTGGCAGCACTCCTATGATATAGTACTGGGAGAACTGTAATTTTCAGCCTGCCTATGACTTTTGGGGATCTACAGACTACTTGCGGATAGTCTGAAAAAGTAACCTCCCCTTTCCAAGTGTGTTATTAATGATATCGATACTCCTTCCCCCCAGGCTGGGGTGTATTAATCACAGGGAGATAGATAGAAATTCTGGTAGACAGTTCCAGTTATCCTAAGCTCGAGGTTTGCTATCTAGCTGGAGGATGTAGCAAAACGGAGTAGGCTGTAGCTCCCCAGTCCACTTCTGGTGTGAAGCCAGACAGACAAGGATGCATTTGGGGCCTCAGTGGCCCCCAGGTGCTCCAGGGCAAACATTTGCTGCTGGGCAGAAGCTGATGAGGGGGACCAGCACAGTTTTGAGCTCTTCAGTTACTTCCTAAATGACTGACCAGAAGGAGCCTTCCCCAGGGTTTGCTCGTGTAAAAGATGAGCGTGGTTTCCCTCAGCGTTCCCTCCACAGCCTTCTCTCTCGGGCTGTGGTCTATTGCGTTGTAAGACTTTGGGCCCACAACGCCTTGGTCTGTCACCGTTACTTGGCCTGTCTTCGCAGAAATAAAGCTCTGGCGCCCCTCTGCTTTCCGTCTGCAGGCGCTGATTTCTAAGCGAGCTTCAACACGCCTTTGAAGGCTGTGCTCTGTGTGGGGGTGCTGAGGCGCCCTGTTTCCCCTGCTCCCCCCTCCGTGCCCCACAGGGGTAACCGCGCTTTTTTACACCCTCCGTAACGCCCGCCGTGCGCAGACGACAACGACCCCTCC